CTGCTTCATCTTCTTCAGAATGGTCAGAAGCCCCATGGTCCCCGCAGCCCCCTCCCGGCCGCCGTTGTTTCCTCGTCGACCCCGCTTCCTACTCCTATTGGCTGTCACGCCCACCGACAGCAGAGCCGATTGGCCGGCCTCTCTCTCGGTCCCGCCCTCACCCCCACGTGACCGCGAGGCATCCCGGCGGGGCCGCCGCAGTGCGCCCTCTAGCGGTGCCGGAGCGTCCCCGCGGCCACCTGCGTTAACCCTTCGCCTCCCGACGGCCGAGGGTTGGGGGGACGAGGGCAAGACCCCCATTCCTTGCCCCCCAGGACTCGGGGACTCGCCCGGCAAGGAAACCTCGAGGTTCCAGAGTAATATCTTGGCCGATCCAAGAGTCGGAACCAAGAGTCCCAGGCATGTTGCGGAGCTCATTGTGGGGCCAGTGTAAGGCCCGCCCCCTACCCACACACACACGTGGTCCAAATCGGGGCCAGGCACGTGGTCCAAATCCTGCTAATTCTGGGCCCGGGCATCGTCCTAAATCGGCCAGTGACCGAGCAGGAAATTGGGTCTCCCATTCCCGGCTCCTGTAGGACGACCGTGCCCTCCGGGGGCCGTTTGGCAAGGTGCAGGGCGTTTGGGGGCTGTTGCAACGACCCGCACAGAGAATGGTCACGCCCAGGATGCCTGGGGATGGTCACTGTGGAGAAGGACAATTCCTGCTTTTGCGGATGCGAGCACTGAGTCCCAGATAGTGCTCAGCGCAGAATGGCATGCAGTAGGTGCTAAATAAATATTTATTGTTGAATGAATGGCTTTGCCCCAGCATTTCATTCTTGACCTTGGCGCTCAAGAAGTTCAGACCCAGGCCGGGCTCTGTGGCTCACACCTGTAATCCCAGCACTTTGGGAGGCCAAGGAAGAGGATTGCCTGAGCCCACAGGTTCGAGACCAGCCTGGGCAACTTGGCGAGACCCGTTTCTACAGTAAATCAAGTTAGCCAGGCGTGGTGGCATGCACTTGTGGTTCCAGCTACTTGGAAGGCTGAGGCGGAAGGGTTGCCTGAGCCCAGCGGGTCAAGGCTGTGGTGGACGTGAGCGTGCCACCACACTCCAGCTTGGACGACAGAATGAGACTCCGACTCAAAAAAAACAAACCAGACCCAGAGTTTCGTTCTTTACTTTGGTGCTCAAGAAGCCCAGAACAAGTGAGGAATCTGGCCAGGCACAGTGTCTCACACCTGTAGTCTCAGCAGGTTGGGAGGCTGAGGCAGGGGAATCTCTCGAGCCCAGGAGTTTGAGACCAGCCTGGGCAACATAGGAAGACTGTGTCTTACAGGGAAAAAAAATAAAATCAAAAAAATAAGCCAGGCATGGTGGCACGTGCCTGTAGTCCCAGCTACTCGGGAGGCTGAGGTGGAAGGATCACTGAAACCCAGAAGTTGGTAGTTGCAGTGATTGTGCCACTGCACTCCAGCCTGGGAGACAGAATGAGACCCTGACTAGAAAAAAACAAAAAGAAAGTGAGGAAACTGCATCAAGGGACCAAGCAGATTGTAAATTCAGGTGCCAGCTGTATTGTCTTTTTCTGGGCCCTTTCCCCACCCAGCTCCAGGGTAAACATGAGCAGGCAAGAAGCGGACTCTCATGCTTGGGAGAGAACAGTCTGCACCAGCTAAAGATAATGGCTACCTCCCGTGTAACCATTTATACCACATGCTCTGTGTTCAGCTTCATCCTCCCTGCAAGTCTGAGAGGTTTATTTCCTTCCTATAGGTGTAATAATGGAATCCAGAGAGTTTAAGGAGCGTGGATAAGACTTAAATTCAGGTCTGGTCTGGGCAGATTAGGGCTGAACATGTGACAGGGTGCCTGAGTGGGCCCCTCGGGTCAGCACCGTTTACCCTCCATCACACATACACACAAGGGAAGAAAGTGCCCATAACTCCTATTCAAAGGCTTTGAAACACAACCGAGATCAAATGGGAAATGCCCAGATTGTAAAAACCTGCCATCCTGCCTCCAGAAGTCTATGCCACAGAAATTCTGGCACTGCAGGCCGGGTGCAGTGGCTCACCCCTAGAGTCCCAACACTTTGGAAAGCCAAGGTGGGCAAATTGCTTGAGCCCAGGAGTTCGTGACCAGCCTGGGCAACACAGCGAGACCTTGTCTCTACAAAAACTCAAAAAATTAGCTGGGCTCGGTGGCACATGCTTGTAGTCTCAGCTACTCGGGAGGCTGAGGTGGAAGGATGGATGGCCTGAGCCCAGGAGGTCGAGGCTGTGGTGGCTGTGAATGTGCACTCCAGCCTGGGCGACGGAGTGAGACTTTGACTCAAAGAAAAAAAAAAGACAAGGGTAGGGACCTAGACACAGACTGTTTTCATTTGCCTCATGGAACGGAGGAAAAGACCTTTTTTTTTTTTTCTTTTTTTGTCCTTCAAGGAGAGGAGCAGAAGAAAAGAGAGCTCTTAATTAAAATTTTTGGGAAATACCTTTGGAATAAAACTAAGATAGATATAGATATAGCTGAAGTTATATATAACTGTGAATATATATATTTTTCTACAAGAAAGAATCGTGAAATTAAAATATGCAAATCCTGACATCTGTGAAACCTGCTTTTGAAGGGAGATTTTCTTAGGGCTTAGTAAATGGATTGTAACTTGAGGATAGAGTTCTAGATGCCTTTTAAAAAGGCATGTTTGCCCAGTGTCTGGAGAGGATAATTTGGCATTGCATTACAGTTTTAGTTTTAAACCGTGGCCGGGCACAGTGGCTCACGCCTGTAATCCCAGCAGTTTGGGAGGTGGAGGCCAGAAGATTGCCTGAGCCAAGAGGCAACTTGGTGAGACCTCGTCTCTACGATAAATCAAAATTTTAGCTAGGCATGGTGGTGTGTGCTTGTAGTTCCAGCTATTTGGAAGGCTGAGGTAGAAGGATCGCCTGAACCCAGTAGGTGGAGGCTGTGGGGGCTGTGAGCGTGCCACTGCACTTCAACCTGGGTGACAGAGTGAGACTCCAGCTGAAAAAAAAAGGATAACCTTTTTCTTTTCTTTTGTAGAGATGGGATCTAGCTATGTTGCCCAGGGTGGTCTCTAATTTCTGGCCTCAAGCAATCCTCCCACCTTGGCCTCCTGAAATGCTAGGATTACATGCATGAGCCACCATGCCCAGTCAAAGGCACATCCTTTTAATTGACCATTATACTCCATGTATCACCTTATTAATCATAAAGAAAAATAACAAAACTTATATTCCAGAACCAAAAGAAAAAAGCTAGGGAGAAGACCCTGCTAAAATTAGAAGTGCTGATCAATTAAGCATTAGCAAGAAATATTCTAAGTTATGTATGTATGTATTTATTTACATACTAGTATAACTTTATTTTTAAACTTGCTCTAGACACATTTTCTGTTTGAGTCTTTTATTTTTTGTTTTTATTTTTTTTGAGTTGGAGTCTCACTCTGTCGTCCAGACTGGAGTGCAGTGGCCACTTCCGGCCACCGCAGCCTCGACCTGCTGGGCTCTGGCGACCCTTCCGCCTCAGCCTTCCAAGTAGCTGGAACTACAGGCACGTGCTACCATGCCCGGCTCATTTTTGATTTATTGTAGAGATGAGGTCTCGCCAAGTTGCCCAGGCGGGTCTCGAACCCGCGAACTCAGGCAATCCACTCACCTCAGCCTCCCAAACGCACGGGATTACAGGCTGAGCCACCGAGCCCGGCCATTTGAGTCTTTTAAACGGTAGCATTCATATTAGGCTGTTTAAAATAAAACTATTGAGAAGACAGAAAACCTGTTTCTTCTCTAGTGGGACACATCTCTAGTGGGACATATGATGCAAGTCTCATTTTGGGGGAGTCCACACGCCAACCAGCGCCTGGTGACAGCATACGCAAGTGTAGATTTGGTCCCATCAGTTAGCAAACAACTTGAAGGTTGAATGTGCAGCCTAAGCACCGACATGGCCACTGCATACAGACTCAGTTCTGCCCTGGCCCGCCCTAGTCCTCCACCTCTCGTCCCCCTGGAGGCTTTGAGTACCCAAGGGCGGCTGTGGCCCCAGCGCTGGTCACTGATTACTCTGTGGGTGTGTGCCATGCGCGGGCAGCACCGAATGCTTCAAAGGGCAAGTCAGAGTGCTCAAGCACCTTCCTTCCGGGTCTTAGCCCAGCTGCACTGCAGGGGAGGCAGAGGAGGCATCCTCTCTCACTTCCAGGTGACAAAAGGTGTCCCTCACCCGCTAGCCATCCACCCAGGGGCACATGACACCCACAGACCTTTCCAGAAGCTTAGGACGGGGGGGAGGACTGGGAATTCTGGGCTCTCCCCATAACCTCATCCTCGCCCACCTCACCTGCGGCCCGTGGTTCCCTCAAGAGCAAGGCTGTGCCGGATGCCACCTGCCCTGTAACGCTCCACCCCAATCTCCCGTTCCCTCACTTTACCAACTCCTCCTGGACCTGGGGTACACGACCCTCCTCCGCCCCCACCAACAGCTCCCCAACACCGCCCTCTCCAATTCTTTGGTCAAATGTCCAACATCAAAAAAAGTGTTTTTGAGCCGGGCTCGGTGGCTCAGCCTGTAATCCCGCGCCTTTGGGAGGCTGAGGTGAGTAGATTGCCTGAGCCCGCGGGTTCGAGACCTACCTGGGTAACGTGGCGAGACCTCATCTCTACAATATATCAAGTGAAAAAAAATTAGTTGGACGTGGTGGCACACAACTGTAGTTCCAGCTACTTGGAAGGCTG